CCCGCCCCTGGGGGGGGGGGGGGGCAGTGGAGCCCGGAACCAAGGCTGAGTAGCAAGGGGGGGCTGTTTCTGATCTCCATGGGAACAGCCCTCCTCAGCTCTGCAGGCAGCGAGGGCCTAGTGGTTAGATCCCTGGATGCCAGGGTTTTCTCCCCAGCCCTGTGGCAGTGAGCTCATAGTGGTTAGAGGTAAGAGGCACTTGGATGCCTGGGTTCTTTCCCCAGCCCAGCAGGCAGCAGTGCCCTAGTGATCAAGAGCCCCAGGGTGGCAGGACTCTGCTGCCTCAGTCCTGTCCCCCAGCATCTAGAGCAGAGCTGGGGGGGGGCGATTGGAGGTCCCCCTTCTCCCAGTGTGAGTTAACCCCTGGTGCCCATGTGGCAGGTGACAGGATGGCATCGGACCATGTGCGGGACCTGCAGAGCGAGGTGGAGGGCGTCAAGAGCATCATGACACAGAACGTGGAGCGGATCTTGGCCCGCGGTGAGAACCTGGACCACCTGCGCAACAAGACTGAGGACCTTGAGGCCACCGTGAGTCCAGAGGGGTCTGGGGGTCTCGGTGCCACAGCCGCTCCTCAGCTCCCAGCCTCCACAGAAGCCCCTGATCCCACCCTGGGAGCAGTTGCAAGCTTTAGCCACAGCCCAGCTAGAGGAGCTGCTGGGCAGGGGACTTGTACCCATATTGTGTGATGGGATATTGGGGGCTGTGGACATCTTGGGGATCCTAGGAGACTATGGGGCCCCTGGGGGGGGGGCACTACATACAGGGCAGATGCGACAGGCCCGGAATCTGCTGAGAGGCTTTAACTCTGAAGCCTAGTGATGGCAGCTCACAAACAGCTGCTCCATCCCCCAGTCAGATCTCCCCCCACGAGTCCCTAACTCCCTGTGCACCCCACAGTCGGAGCACTTCAAGACGACATCGCAGAAGGTGGCACGCAAGTACTGGTGGAAGAACATCAAGACCATGGTTATCATCGGCCTCATCGTTGCCATCATCCTCATCCTCATCATCCTCTTTGCTACTGGCGTCATCCCCACCTAGGCCCCCCAGGCCCCACCCCTGGGCTGGGAGGGATATTGGGGGCTGAAATACCCTCCCCCCCCAACTGGGTCAAGTGGGTGGCTGGAATTGGTGGGGGAGGTACTGGGGGGTGGGAATTGCCCCAGCTTGGGGGTTTTGGGGGCCTGGAATTGCTCCTCCATGCCTTAGAGGAGGGATGGGGGTAGAAGTGCCCCAGCCTGGGGTATTGGGGTCCTGGAATTGCCCTAGCCCTGCTGGAGGGGCAATGTGGGGCTGAACTACCCCCAAATTGGGGCAATTGGGAAACTAGAATTGCCCCTTCCTTGCTTAGTGGGTATTGAAGGACTAGAATTGCCCCAGCCTTGGCATATTGGGGTAGAATTGCCCCCTCCTGGCTGAGGGGGGTATTGGGGTTTGAAATTTGGGAGGGGTATTGTGGGTTGGGGTTCCCAGGCTGATATGGGGGGTGGAGAAATTCACTCTGTGCCTTTTAATAAGGGAGGGGACAGGCTCTGCCTTGGGGTCCCCTCTGTCCTTGGGAATTTATTAAGTGCCGGGGGGGGTTCCTGTTACCCCAGACCCCTCCCCCAATCTGCCTGAGGGGGGGCAGCTAGGGATGTGGGGGTATTTTATATGCCACTGTATTTATATGCCCCCAGCCAATAAACCAGTGGAGTCAAAGGCTGTGTCTGCTGTGTCCCTGTGGGTGGGGAAACTGAGGCAGGGGCAGTAAACCCTGGTTCGGGGATAAAAGTCCTGCTACCAGGGCTCCTGGCAGCGCTGGTGCGGTGCCCTGCTAGGCAGGTGCCCTGCCAGGCAGTCGGGGTAGACAATAGGCGCAGTGTCTGGGATTCCCCCCTCCCCCCCAGCAGCTGGCCTTGGGTCACAGGATGCGGAGGGGGGCGGGCAGCGCTGGCAAGGGCCCTTGGTGCCAGCAACCCCCACCACCATCCTGCGCTAGCAGCACCCTGCACAGCGCCTGCCATCTTTAGGTGCCTGACTGGACACGCACAGTCAAGGCCTCAGTAGAGCCCAGGCCTGGGGTAGAGGGCGGGTGCCGCTTCGTCAGGACTGCGCCCTGGCTCCTGGCCCCGACGCTCCGCGGTGGGGGCCAAGGTTAACAGCGCGGGTCCAGCCCTGCGGCTGCCCCGGGGCGTCGTCAGGGTCCAGTGCA